GGCCGGGTATGACTCCGTGATCCAGGTTCGGTGGATAAACGGGGACAGCTATCTGCCTCTCCAATCATAGACGTGTACTCATTTCAGGCGACTGTGCAATGCCTGTTAGCTTTACGGGATAGTGTGTGAATACGACTTTCAGAACCCACAGCATTTATCTGCGTGATAGCAAGTTCAAAATTACAATGAATATCAATAGCATGCCCGGATATAGGAATAAATTTCAAGTGGCTTGGTAAAGCAATCGCCAGATTCACATCCGTCCTTGTTGCACTTCAGTTCAGTCCAGTTCAGTTTATTTGAGGGAAATATAGGTGGTGAACCTTTGAACTCCCTATTTGTTACAAGGAAGCGAACTATATCAAACATTTGAAAATGGAAACATCAAACGGCTACAGAGATTCTTCAGATTGGCAAAGTTTTCGAAGCCAGACAGATAAACGAATTGTTCCAAGAGTTAAAAACATTAACGTTACTAAGTGTGATGTACAGTAGTCTGTCTATGGATAGTTGGTGCTATCTCAGTTTCTGAGGGAGACGAATTCGATGCCAACAGATATGGAACAATAATACAAAACAAACATTACTGAAATACATGCAGTAATATAACAACATTAATAAACTTTTCGAACGAAATGCTAGACGTCAGTCAGGTGGCATTACGACGTTTGGTGGTACACTGGTCCAACTTGCGCTTAAAAGCCTCGACGGAGGTGGACATGACGAAATCTGCAGGCAGAACATTCCAGGACTCAAACTTAAAGGCCTTGGCTTCGGAAAGACATAGGTATCCCTGAAAATGTACGACACGCCACAAAGATTGTTCCTGAGTTCAAAACTTTCATGTACGGTCAGTACCTGATCGCCTTAAGCCTCAACTTCCTCCACTATAGAGAGGAGGGGGGTGACATTTAACGACGTTTCAGTTGTCAGGGCTAATTGATTTTTATGTGAGCCGGAAAAATCCTATCGTGATGCCACTGAAGACAAATCTCAGACGGCACGATTGCCAACTGTGCCGCAGTAATCAATGCTCCTTCTTTTTCTTTCAAAGGGTAATTAGTCGGTGGAATTCCTTGCTTATGTTCGTTATTTGTTACCCTCTTCGTGAGTTTGTTTAAGAAAAGTCTGGATACGCACCTGTTAAAGGTCAACCAGAACTCCCGAAACTCCACATTCATAGGTAATCACAACCATCAACACGCTACTATCTTCATTTCAATACCCCATTTTGTTTGCATTAACTTTTCCCTGCCGGTCGTATTACGTTTAGATGCAGTGAGTCAGCCGTTCATTATTATTTCGAAAATTCTCCACCTTTTTAAAATTCCTATTTTATTAGGCAGTTTTAGATGTACCACTACGCACCACTAAAGTGCCTGAAATATCTGGGACCTAAACTGCACGATAATCAATATTACAGGCTCACTTTAATAATCCTTCGTAATCGAAAAAGCATCTCAGAATTTCGACTAACATTTCATGCGATCAGTTAGTAAGAATTCGCCATGCACAAATGACATTTAAAATACGATTTCCCTTAGGAAACGAGCGATTAACTCTGATTAGTCGGTGCATGCTCGACTTTCTGGTCTATGATCCTAACAGTAACAATAGAAATTGATAGTTGCTTCTGCCGAAATCCAGCGAATCGTTTAGATAAAGCAGGCATGGACGAAATCTTCAAAACGAACCTTAAATAAGTGTGACAATTTAGGCATGCATTCCTAACATTCGGCCAAGTGGAAGAATCTGACTCATCTAGTGAGTCATACGCGAGGTTTTATGAAAATCAGTGTTTTGTCGTGTTAAAGTTATTACTAGCACCGGAGTAAACGGCTTCCAATCCGTCGCAGAACAGAAACTTTGTAAGACATGATCTGCGCTTGGTAAATTCACGATGATCGTGAGTGGAGGGATCCTGTTGTTCTAGCGATGTGCAGAAGTAAAGCATGAATTACGCTGCCCCCTGGTTTTTGAAGGAAACTAGTTATATTAAGCAGATTATAATGGGACGCAGGCTAGTTCAACCCAAGTTTAGGCAAGCGGTTCACAGGAAAAAAACACTTCTTCTTTGAGATTATGTTTAGACTTAGACTAACGGTAATCGGTTAAAAAGTGGGATGCCTATACCTGGAGCTAGGAAATCTAGAAGGCCGGCGTTAGGGAGGCTTGAGAGAGTCTTTGCGCGGTTCAAGGGAGTTACTTGCGCACTACTTCCACCGTTGAATACCTTACTTATTCCAAACGATTTTTGAAATATTTCTATGTGTACAAGCTGCCAAAGAGATCGCAGGGTGGGGAAATGTTACAGTATTTAGATACAACCCTACCTTGCAGATGCAACCACCCCCGCGCTCTCTGTTCAGTTTACGTTTCCTTGAGAAGTTCGAGATATCCAAAGACATTTTCAATATTGTTTCCACTTTATGGTCCATACTGTCCATAAAATTGGCGCAGTATTCGTCGCACTCGACGTAGTGAACGACGACTGACTGCTGACCTTCAGCTTGTTTACCTTTAATCCACACGCATCCTTAATGCGCTGACGAGTTCACTGCCCTATGCTGAGACTTGGCGATTTAATTTGAATTCAAGCTTGTCATTGGTTTATATTATTCCGCGGTCAGTTTTTTGATGCAAGCCTTAAAGTGTGAATCAGTGCTGCCGTTAGACAAATAAGGACGAATTTTGCATTATTTCATACTAGAGTTTAACAAAAACTCATCATGCGCACTTAGAAGCCCGCAAAATTAGCCCACACCGCACCTATCAGCGAGCGCGGCAGTCATTCGTCATTTGTGAGTTTTCGTAGCATAAATCACAGGTAAAGATCCAAAGCCTAGTGAACAGGGCTTTCGTTTAAAAAAATATCAGAAATCGATTCATTGTGTCCTTCTCACAAAAATTCTGCCCATGGATGTTTCCATATTTAGGAGACATTTCTCACCAGGTTGCTTAATTAGTACCACTCTAGTCATGTTGCTCTAGATACTCATCGAAAGCCCTAACATGTAAATACTGCTATCCTTTCACCTCGTCAATATATCGAGTAAGTCAGGCGTTTTTCTAACTAGCTCTTTCAGTAGGTAATCTATCTAGTACTTTAGCTCATTTAGGCTTCTCTGAAGATTTCTTTTGGGATCTGGTTACTGATTGGGCCATGGCTGTTACATAGCCTTCTTGTCGGTACTTCTGTAGGTTTTTTGCATTCCGATGCTTGTGACGTTGAATAATTCAAAATTACTTTTATTTGTTTGATTTCCAGTATATTTTAAAACAAGAACTAACTTTTCGGTCCTGTATGATTAATTAATTGCCGTCTTGTGGTGGAAACACGACTTGCCTTTGGCTGCCTTCCATCGCGCCACATTTAATGCCCAAGTTGCGTTACGACCCTTAGAGTCTTCCAGGCGTTCTGACTGGGCAGTTCGCCTAGGGCAAGTTCCTTCTCCTTCACCAGCCAATCCCTACCATTCAGTGACTTCCACAACTACCTGCCAAAAGTTCCTCCTATTTTTCATATAGCGCACGCTTTCTAACGCCTTCTACGTCGACTTAATCTAAAACCTTGTTTACGCCTGTTACACATTATTTTTTAGTATCACGTTGGCCATGTCGGGCTCGTTCGCATCTGCCCCACCCGTAAACAGGTGACCTCAGCTACCGCGGCCTCACTGTGGTTGCACACTGTACTGTCGCCTCCTTTCGTTCTGAGAGTACAATCATGGGGCTCAAATAATACTGTTTTTATTATCATTATTATTATTGAGTCACCAGCCATACAAGTCTCACTATCATAGTTGTCGGAACTCAGTACTTTTCTTTTATCGTCGCGGTGGTTTTCGCGGTGGAGATTCTGAAAAATCTTATGACATAGAGATTCCATTTCTACTGGCCCCATCCCGATTTCTCACTAACAAAACCACGGGATCTTAAAATGATTCCTCCTGTATGCATGTGGAGTGTAGAGGTGATCAGTCGTGAGTTCACGTGACGGTCGTAGTAGGTCGCTCACTCGCTTTCGGATGTAGATTACACTTAGCGTCCACTAATTGGCACCCAACTCTCACATGTGGCTCCCCGAAGCTAGGCTCTGCATAGCGGCCACATCCCGGCGACGGCTTCAACCGGCGAGCTAAATCAGTTGAGGGTATCCGTGTGTTCACCGCCTCACACGGTAACTCGGCTCCGCTCTCACCATTGTTGGCTGGATGGATTACCGCCTCGGCACCTCCGAGATGAGGCTCTGTCTGCAACGCTGAAGGAGGCAACAAGGTAAGTGACCCTCAGGTAAGCTAATACTGGTGTGCTTCATTTGCTTTTTGTCTGCTTGCTGACGTTTCTCCTTGTTGTAAGCTAAATGTCGTTCAGTTGAATTTCCTCTGTTGTCTATGCTTTTGTTGTTCTTGCTTGCTTGCTCTTTGTCTGCTTGTTCGTGTCCGTCTTTGCCGTAAGCTAACTGTCGTTCTGTTGAATCTGTTTGCTCATCGTTCATATATCAGCAACCAGTTAACCTAGAGAATGACGGGAAGTTCTACGCCCCGTCTCTCTACACTTCCCCCATCCCCCCTCCCTTCCCCCCTTCAAGTCCTACGGCGTGAGCGACAGTGAATTCGTAAGCGGTTAAGGATTACTCTGGTCGTTCTCCCACTAAACAAAATCTTGGCCCATAGTGGACTCCGACAGCCGTCTGGGATGACTGAGCAGCCATATTCAGGGAGATAACTGCTCAACCCCACAAAGGGGGAAGGAGCTAGAAAAGGTGCCCTGAACAAATGTTTGGATTCAAGCCGTCTGCACGCTGACCGCGGCCACAGACACAAAGCACATGATCGAGGCAATCAAAATCGAAAGAACACGCTCTCTCTCTTCCCCCTCCCCCCCGCCGCCCCACTCACCAGACTGGTAGAGTGAGTCCGCCCACTCTAGCAGCCTGGAATGTTCGCTCCATTTTAGACAACCCGAGGAGCAACCGACCGGAACGGAAGACGGCGCTAATGGCTCGGGAACTGGCGCTCTACAAGGTGGACATCGCGGCGCTCAGCGAGACCCGGTTCTCCGAACAAGGCCAACTGGAGGGGGTGGGTGACGGCCACACCCTCTGAAGCGGTCGCCCCAAGGCAGAGCGACGAAACGCTGGCGTCCCCTTTGCTCTCCGGAAGGACACCACGGGACGACTGCCCTGTCTGCCACAGGGCACCAATGACCTCCTGATGAAGCTCCGCCTGCCTCTTCAGGGAGGCGAATTTGCCACCACCGTCAGTGTCTACGCTCCGCCGATGACCAGCCCTTACGCCGCAAGGAACAAATTCTACGAGAACCTGCACGCCCTCCTGGCGACTGCGTCGAAGGCGGATAAGTTGGTTGTCCTTGGCGACTTCAACACCCGCGTCACACAGACCATGCTACCTGGAGAGGAGTGCTGGGTTCCCATAGTCTCGATGGCTCCAATGACAATGGCCTGCTTCTCCGCACCTGCGCAGAACACCGGCTCATCCTGACCAACATCTACTTCCCCGTACCGATGCGCGCTAAAGGCCACTCGGATGCACCCTCGGTAGCGTCAGTGGCACCTTGTGGACTATGTCCACGTCCGGAGGCGAGACTAGCGGGACCTGCTTGTGACAAAGACGACCCCGGGTGCCGACGGGTGGATCGATCATCGTGTCGTCATCTGGCAAGGAGAAGTCCCGCAGGATTTCAAGGCCGTTACAATCTTCTACATCTACAGGCGGAAAGGGAACTGCCACATCTGCGACAATCACCGAGGCATTTCCCGGCCGAACACTACTTAAAACATTTTCGCTCGCATGCCTCTCAGGCGCCTGAACAACCATCTGGAACAGGGTCTCCTGCGGGAAGGCCAGTGTGGCTTCCACCGTCATCATGGGACTACGGACATGATCCTCGCCGCCCGCCAACTGCAGGAGAAGTGGCACGAGATGCGGACTCGCCTGTACTCCACCTTCGTGGATCTGACGAAAGCCTTCAATACGCCGAATTGCGTTCGGCTGTCCCGAAAGATTCGATCAGACGATGCGTCAGCTCCACGACGGCATGACGGCAAGCGCCACGGAAAATAGAGCTGCATCAGAAGCATTCGCGGTGACCAACGGAGTGAAGCAGGACTGCGTCCTCGTGCCTACCTTCTTCAGTCTCATGTTCTCTGTCATGATGATGGATGCCTACCGCGACGAATTGCCTGGGGTCCGCATCGCTTGCAGGACGTACGACAAAGTTCCTCAACCACCGACGGATGCACTTCTAGTCGCGTGTATCCACAACTTCCGTTCATGAACTTCCCTTTGCCGACGACTGTGACCTCAACACCACGTCAGAAGGGGATATGCAAAGGAGCATGGATCTCTTCGCCGCCGCCGCCTGCGAGGACTTCCGCCTGATCATCAACACGGAGAAGACGATGGTTATGCATCAACCACCACCCAACGTTGCCTACGTGGCACCTCATATCCGCGTGAACGGCGCCCAGCTGCAAATGGTGGACAACTTCAGATATCTGGGCAGCACACTCTCCTGCAACAACAAAGTCGACGATGAAGTGGCCCGCCGGATTTCCAAGGTCAGTTAAGCCTTTGGCCGACTGCAGAACACCGTCTGGAATCGTCACGGTCTCCACCTCAACACCAAGCTGAAGATGGGCAAGACAGTCATAATACCGACGCTGCTGTACGGAACAAAGACCTGAATGGTTTACAAGAAGCAGGCGCGGATGCTCAGTCACTTCCACCTCAGCTGTCTTCGACGGATATTGTGTGATTCGAGCTGTGGCTTGGAAGGCTGCTGACTGACGCCCCAACTCAGCCTACGCAGTCTGTCCAGTTGTGTGCGTGTAAAGTGGAGTGGCGGACTGATGGACTGACAGCCAGGCTGAAGCTGCTCCTTCTTAACGTGACCTACGGCGCTCTCACGGATGTGAGATGTACGCCGCCCAACCGTCGTTGTGTGAAATCCTGGTGCTTGTGTTCTAGGGGGCCAGGTCGTGCATGTGGCGAGCGCAGACAAGGTCACTAGACTATGTCAGCTACTACGCCCATTCCCAGCACATGCCAACTGACCGGCTCAGACAGTGACTGGGGGTCTGGAAATGGGAAGGGCGCGTGAGGTCGACGACTCAGCAAATTTTTCCCCTCACTGTAAACAATCTGACGCGCTTGAAGCTCTCATGGTGAGCTAAAAGCCGTGGCTTTGAACGTTGCTTACCGATCGGATTACTTGGACCTCGCAGTTGGTCCAGTGTTGTGTTTGTGTGGAGCGGCTAATGGTAGTCTAAGAGCTAGACTAAAATGACTCCTCCTCAGTGTAGCCTTTATGGCACTCCCACTCTATGGGATCCAAGCCAGATGTTACGGCACGACCAGTTGCGGCTCCGGTCGTGCCAGCCACACTTTTGCTGTTGGGTAAAATTCTGGTCAAGTGTGTTGCGGACGAGAGGGTGTGAAGTGGAACGCCGAGGTGCGGGCTCAACCATGCCATCCATCTGCACCCTCCCCCCTCCGGTCTTGACTTTTTCTTGACACCAGGTCCAGGTGGGGGAGGAGGGGAGAGTGTTATAGATGTAATGCAAGTCTACATTCACTATAAACTAAATCACGCGCAAGTCATCGCGCTTGATTCACCCTGTTGTGCAGCACACGCTGGACATTGTCGGCAACGACCGTTAAATATATGTATTTGAAGTGTTACAGCCAAAGCCCTTGATGACCCTATTACTGAATAATAATTTCGTATATTCATGCTCAAAATGTAGTCACAGTTATTTACAATGTGCACTGCTCACAGTGAAACATTGATAATAAGGAATTTTTCTGTTGGTGATGAGTCAGTGCGGAAAGATTGTGTGACAAAAATGTTTTATAAAGCTGGCTGTGAACAACCATGTTGTAAAAGTCGGTCTTTGTTGAAAGTTACGCGAGCAAGTTTTCTTTTTAATATGTGAATCGTGTCGGCCATCGACATCTTACTTGGTAGCGAGTTCCATGATCGAAGAACCTGTTGACTGAAGTAAAACTTCGTACGATCGAGCCGCGCCATCCGTTTCTGACTTTGTAGAAATGGCCGCGTTCTTGGTTTTTACCGGCTAACTCAAAGAAGTCCTCCGTTCACAGTGAGCAATCTTGGCCACGGGCAATCTTAAATGTCCACAATGAACTTCCGTTTAGTTGCCTATAGGATAGAGGGAATAATCCAAGCACATTCAGCCTCTCCTGGTACGACAAAGGCTTTCGACTGTCGATCATTTTTGTTACTCTGCGCTGCAACAGTTCGAGGTGGCCAATGTCTTTCGTCATCCATGGTGTAGCTGTTGGCATTCCATATTCCAGGTGGGGTCTTATAAAGACGCCAAAGAGTCCTCCGAATAGTTCGGGAGGAAATATTTTAAATGCACGTCTGATCCAGTGTAAGGTACTAGTTGCCTTCTGATGTATCTTCTTACAGTGCTCTGATGGCATTAGATTTGTGGTCGTCCAGGTCTCTGTGTCCTACATATTTTACTACGGTCTCTCATATATAATACTGATGTTCGGGAGAGGCATGTCGGCCAGTGTTTAAGTGTAGGACCACGCATTTAGACACACTAAACTTTAAAAGCCATCTGTTTGACCAAACACTCGGTTTGTCGATGTTCGATTGCAACTTCTTTGCGCCATCAACGTATTTGATTTCACTCCATATTTTATGTCATCTACACACATGAGAGCCTCGCAATCCAGTTCGCTGGTGCAATCATCTGCATAAATTAGGAAGAGCGGTGGGCCTAAAACAGAACCCTGTTGGATACCACTTTTCACTTTTGCCCATTCCGACGTAGACTTACCAACAACGACTCGCTACCCTGGAGGACAGGAAACTTATTATCCCCTTAAAAATTCCTCCTCGAATCCCTACATTCCAAATTTTCTGTAAAAGAAGCCTGTGTGGGCTGCAATCAAATGTCTTCTAGAAGTAAATGATAGTGCATCTACTGGATAACCCTTATCTGAGGTCCTTATCCATTTGTCGGGCGAGTAAAAAATACTCGTGTGGCAAGAACGTCATGAAGGGAAGCCATGTCGGAAGTTTTTCACAGTTAGCCCGATTCGTGAATTATTTTTCTTCGGCAATGCCTGCAAAATGGCATTAAATACAATTATTGTTATTCTGTTTTTTCCTAGGTATTCCATAAAATGTCTTTTTATAATGCACCCCATTATTCTACACGCGATGCAATTCTGATTGATAGGGCGATAATCTTCTGAGTCAGCTAGTGAACCTCCTTTATGGATCGAGGCGATTAATACACAATTTAGTTCATCAGGATGCTCGCCCTCTTCAGGTGACTTTTGGACATTGTAGGCAGTGGTTCGCACAATAGAAGCGAAGAGATGAGTCCCAGGAAGTAGTCTTGAAGAAGGAGATCGGCGATCGTGTCTCCTTCTTCCAGTGGTTCGCACAGTTCAGTAGCAAGTTCTCAAAGTGCTAATGTAGAAATTCTATCCGGACTAGGCGATTAGGCAGGCTTCAATCGGAGTGATTCGGTCCCAAATATGACGGATGAAAAGTGTAATTCCTTGATTTGGAAGGTAAAGAGAGGAAAAGAGGACAAAAAGGGAGTGGGACGGAAAAGAAAATGTTGTTTGGTGAATGGGTGAATGGACAAAGAAGAATTACGTCCTGGGGTGAAGACGGACCAAAAGAAATTAGGCAGGATGCATGCTTTAACCTGGTCGTCGGTCTCCCGTCTTCCGTCTGCTGAACTAAGTACATGGATCAGTTACTGAATTCTTTTAGTACCCCTATACAACGATATAGAATTTTCGAGTGTTCCAACGAATTTTGGAGTATGCTCAGTCCAAACTTCCTTCGCAACTTGGAAGCCCCACTTTTTCAAAAATTGTGTTATTGCGTATAATCCCGTAAGTACTTTCGGAGCTGGTTATTCTGTAACGCCTCCAAATGCGATTTATTTTTTTGAAATAGGCCTCCAAGTTCGATGTTATCTACTTTGGAGAGTTTGTAATTGTCTTTCTTCTGAGAGGACAGTTGACGTAAGCAGTCTTTTTCAGCAAGGAGCTGAAAGTCCTCCAGTGGTCATTTGCTTCGTTATGCAGACCCGTTTCCCATTATACCTCTGATACTTTTCTTCTTACGAGTGGAAAGTCCCCCTACAAGCGTCTCTCTTACACCTATCAGGCACAATCGGTTTGAAAAACAGTGAGTACTCAAAGAATGCTGTGAGTCGGTTTCTTGACCCCAATGACAGTCAGTCCTGCAGGCCTAGCATAATTTCCTCCTCTTGGGTAAAAATTAAGTCAAGGCAATAAGTCCCCCAATAATCCGCGTTCCAAAGGTGACGCAGATAGAGAAGTTTACCCACCGCCCATTGTAGGAGCTAGTGACTAAAGTTGTCTGGCAGCACCTGGGCAGTCCATATTTGTCAATTAAAGCCCGAGACGCTAAAACCCCCAATGATATGGATATCTTTCTTCGCACGGGTTTTTTACAGTTCAGTTATAAGACTGTGATCATGACCAGAAGTCTGGGTAGGCCGACGGTAGTCCATCGAAAGCGTTAGTGGTTGAGAACTCTTAGCAGATATGGTGATGCTCAAGATCCCGTACGGGAGTATGTACCTCGGTCGTAGCGGTCGGCTTGCAAGTGATATAAGTTATGACCCCTCCTCAGGGACTTCGTCTATCCCTCCTGAATTGTTGATGTCCTCGAAGTGATATTTCTGAATCTGCAGTATCTGCAGAAACCCATTTTCCTGTGAAAACAATGGTGTCTGGCTTAATTTCATCAGCTAATTACCTTAATTAATAAAGGTTATTGAACAGACTTCGTATATTCGCGGAGATGACTTCCAAGAATCGTTTCGCCAGAGAGG